AGAGCCTTCAGTTTTCAGGCCCCTCTTCTGTGGAACCAGCTTCCAGTTTGGATTCAGGAGACAGACACTATCTCTACTTTCAAGATTAGGCTTCAAACTCTCCTTTTTACTAAAGCATATAGTTAGGGCCTGCCGCAGCATGGTGGTTAGCACTGTTGCCTCACAGCAGTTTGATTCCACCGCCTGGTCTGGTCCTTTTTGTGTGGCGTTTGCACATTCTCCCTGTGTTTCTGTGGGTTCTCTCCGGGTACTCCGGCTTCCTCCCACAGTCCAAAGACATGCAGATAGTGGGGTTAGGTTAATTGGTAACTTTAAATTCCCATAGGCGTCAATCTGAGTGTGAATGGTTGTTTGTCTCTGTGTTAGCCCTGCGACTGACTGATGACCTGTTCAGGGTGTAACCTGCCTCTTACCCTAAGGACAGCTGGGATAGGCTCCACCCCCACCGTGACCCTGAAATGGATAAGTGGAAGAGAATGGATGAACACGTCCATCCATCCATCCAACACTTACCACCTAAGGGCTTTAAGATAAGATGGGCCCTGATTATTCAAGGACATTCAAGCCAATATGGGCAAAATCTGCTCTCTCTTTCTAGTTGATCCAAAATGCTGCAGCATTTTAGCACTCCTGATAATAAATACAGTAGTCCAGCCCAGAAGAAATGCACAATGTTTTCTATGCAGCACCTGAGAAAAGATGCTTCTAATTTTAGAGCTATTACACAAACGCAAGAAAGCAGTCCGACATATTTGTTTAAAATGTCCGTTGAAGTCCAAAGTAATGCCATCCAGAGTTTTATCTGAATTTGCTATGCCTTCTAATAATGCTGGGGGTATTACAAAACCCTGTAACACCACAATTAGACCTGTGTGAAGAGAACTCCTCATTTACATGAACAAATCTGTTAGATAGATTCAAACCATTGCAGTGCAGTGCTTTGATTACATACGGCATCTGCTAATCTCAAAATAAGGCTATTTGAGTAAGAGTTGTACCCAACCTGCAAAGCCTCCAAGGCCAGACAAGCTCAGGGTAGTGCAGCATAAGCTGTGGCTTTGAGTTCTGTATACCAGACATGTGAAATATTAGTAAATACAATTTCCATCCCATAAATGTCTACACTAATGTATTTGTTTAGCTGTTCATTTATTTGGTATATAGCAATACATTACACTGGTATATTTATTTTTTTGCTGCTGTGTAAATACTATGGAAAGAATACAATCACATAGTGTACAATGGTAAATGGTTCTTATGCAGCTCTTTTCTATCAGAGCAATCAAAGCGCTTTACACAGCTTACCTCATTCACCCAGTCATACAAACACTGTGCTCTTTATATGTAAGGGCTCTAACATTCACACACATTCGTACTCTGATGGATGCATTGGAGAGCAACATGGGGTTGGTATCCTGCCCAAGCATATTTGGTATCCAGACTGGAGGAATCAAAGCACCAAGCTTCCAATTAGCAGCTGACCTGCTGTGAGCTATAGCTTACAAAAAACAGGTTTAATAAACATTTAAAGGATTACAAAATGAATACATCTTCTTAACCTTAAAGACCAGCAATTTAATAACAATATAACATTATAATTGAGTTTGATTCTTCAGTTCTCCAATATCTAGCCAGTTTTACTAAGCTCCTTATATATTCTGATATATATGAAGGTACACGTACAAGTGTGTGTGTGTAGGTGTGTGAGTTTTCTGATAATATATGGAATAACATATCAAGAACTGTGATTGTAGAACTCTTGGGTCAGCTTTTTCTCCCTTAAGACTTTATTTCATTGGACAAGGTCATGTTTCGAGCCCAGATAAGACACTTTAACCCTTTAAAGCCGGTCGGAGCAGCACGCTCTGTTTTGCGTAACTATTTTTAAATCCCGGTAGCTCTGCAACCACGTGAGCTAGCGCAATAATTTTTTTTGCATATGAAACCGGAGGAGTTGTACTTACATCTTATGCCATCAGCTTGTCCTCGGTCACAGTTTCCTTCCACATATAACTTTGCAAAAACTGCATAAAAAGCACTTGCAGCAACAAAACATAATATTCCAGAAACACGCTTTGCTGATCCGATCAACTGTTCGTAACACTTCCTACATTGGATTAGACGTCAGCGCAAACTATCGCATGTCCGCCATGACCTGCCCAAAACCGGAAGTGATGTCATTTTCGCGGAAATTTAGTTTTTTTTACCATCAGGGCCTCATGAGCCTATACTGGTGTTTTTAAAAGTTATGTTTGACTTTATGACTTTCTGTGTCGTTTCTGGGATGCTTAGGACTCATATTGCACTGCTGGAAATAGTTTATTTTGATGCATATGCTGCTTTTTTGCAAATTTGCACTATAATATTTATTTTCGTTTTTCCTGCAGTGGCGGACTTGGTTCTATGGTAGGTCTTAAAGGGTTAAGAATAATAAACACCAATAAACAGACTCGGCAGTATTTAAGTCATCAGTCACCAGTGCTTTGTGGTGAAGAGAGAGCTGGGAGTAAAAGTGAAGCTCTCGATTTAACAGTTGATCTGCGTTTCTGGTTACGAGCTTTGGGTAGTGACTGTAAGAACGAGATCGCAGATACAGGCGGCGTACATGAGCTTTCTCCAAAGGTTGGCTGGCCTCTCCCTTAGAGAGTGACGAGCTCGGCCATCTGGGAGGGGCTCAGAGTAGAGTCACATTGAAAGGAGTCAGTTTAGGTGGTTTGAGCATCTGACGAGGACGCCTCCTGTGTGAGGCGTTCTGGGCATGTCCCATCGGAAGGAGGCCCTGGGGCAGACACAAGACGTGCTGGAGAGATTATATTATATTATATTATCTCTCGGCTGGCCTGGGAACGCCTTGGTGTTTCACCGGAAAAGCTGGAGGAGGCTGCTAGGAAGAGGGAGGTCTGGGCTTCTCTCCTTAGGCTGCTTCTCCTGTGACTCAGCTCTGGATATGTGGAATAACATGGGGCAGCAGTTCTGTAGTAATAATAATAATTACAATAAGTACTGTTGCCTCACAGCAAAAAGGTTCTGGATTTGAATGCACCATCTCTCACACACGCGCACAACGAGCTAATCATGAACATTTCCCCGTAAAATACAATCTTTAATTGCTGACAGTAGGAATTATACACGTGCTCTCAGGCTAAACTTGGCCTTAATAGCATTAAAAACGTCTTTCATAACTATTAAGTGAGTTTAGCATTTTTGTCAGTTTGAGAGGGCAGCAGTGCATAAAGAGCAATATGCAGTACTACACTCTGGCTATGTTTCAGTTCAGGCTTCACTTAAGTGTTGAAAGATTCACAGTAATAATAATAATACTACTTTTAAAAGAAACTGATTCTAAGGATTCGAGGCACTGAAAATCACCAAGCACTGAACAGAAAGTCAAGAGACCGGATATTTTCTAACACATTCATTCAGACTGTACACAACACATCTGTCTGTAATCACAGAATACGTCACAAACAGTGCTTCTTGTGTGAACTGTTCCTCTTGAGTACTGAGACAGACAACAACCCACAATCTGCGTGTCAGCTCCAAGGTTGTTGTATAGCTTTCACTCCCCCACAATCCTTCAAAGTTAATGAAATCATTCTCACAAAGTCACTGGAGAGGTAGCTCTTTCCCAAGCTATCAAAAGGTGCGCTGAGTAACACTGAATATTAAGAAAATGTGACAACAGACCTGGAAACGTGTCATTGGTGTATAAGGACACAGAAGACTTTGTCAGCTTGTGCATTCAAATTCAGAGTCACCTCCGAACACATTAGCTTTGGAAAGAAGGAGCAAACAGATGAAAACAGATGAAAGACTTTGATGTTTGGGGCTAATGACTCATCTGGAAGTGTCACAAATCCGTGCTAACTGAATCTAATGGACATTGTTGAATTGTATAATCACTTTAAAACTATTTGAGGAAGAGCTAATTCAAAGTCAGAAAACCTGCTTTGTTACTTTGTGTTCACTGTGTTTTAAATGGTAATGAATGAGATATACAGCTGTATATTTCCTTTGTCAAAATGAATTAGAAACACAGTAATGCAGTAATAACTAGCTGTCCAGAAACCCTTGGCATGTTGATTGAAAAGGGTTTTATCTCTTCTGCTTTTCTCTTCCAGGGATCCAAATCAGCCAGTTCCACAGGACACCAAATTCATCCACACAAAGCCGAACCGCTTCGAGGAGGTAGCGTGGACGAAGTACAACCCCAAGGACCAGCTCTACCTTCACATTGGCCTCAAACCTCGAGTCCGAGACCACTACCGAGCTACCAAGGTTGCGTTCTGGCTCGAACTGGTTCCGCACCTTCACAACATTAATGAATTTTTTCAATATGTATCCACTACTACTAAGATACCTCCACAGGACACTACACCGTATCCTTATACCAAACGATTCCCAGGTAAAAACAACTGGCCCTCCACCACACGCCACCCGGGAGTTCCTTCTGCCAACACCAAGCAAACAACCAACCAGCGCAAGAGCGGCGACCTGACGGATGAGTCAACCGTGGTGATTGAGACCAAACGGGACTATTCCACTGAGCTCAGCGTCACGATCGCCGTGGGAGCATCGCTGCTATTTCTGAACATCCTCGCCTTCGCTGCGCTCTACTACAAGAAAGACAAACGTCGCCATGAGTCCAACCAGCGCGTCCCCACCCCGCAGCGCAACTCTGCTCCAACCAATACTCCATCGACTGCCAACGACGTAGCCCATCTGCAGAGCGAGGAACTGATGTCTCTACAGATGAAGCAGCAACAGCTGGAACACGAGCACCACCACGAGTGTGACTCGCTTCAGGCCCACGACACGCTGCGGCTCACCTGCCCACCGGACTACACACTGACTCTCCGCAGGTCACCTGACGATATACCGCTGATGACTCCCAGCACCATCACCATGATCCCCAATTCCCTGGCTGGCATGCAGCCTCTGCACAATTTCAACACTTTTGGTGGCAACCAGAACAGTACCAACTTGCCCCACGGCCACTCCACCACGCGGGTATAGCTCAGCTGGGACGGGACTGTGCCAGGTTCCCTCTGGATTAACAACCACCCACACGAGGAGAATATAAGTTATTCAGCAGATGTTATTTTGCTACCAAGCCTTCTTGAAACGTATATACAATATAAATTGATCATAAACTCACAAAACTATTCAAAATGAATGTTATTACAGTAATAACTCTGTTTGGAGCAAATTGTCACGAAGGTTTTCGAGGAGCGTTACCAAGACAACCAGTGGATGACTGTTATATAATCTCATAACACAAAAACAGCAGTTTCTATGTTGACAAAGACGACAGTTGGTGAAAAGCAACAATGGAACATCTTTTCCTCCATGCACCTGACTTGGGCACATGAAATGTATTTATGAAAACTTTGTATAAAAAGAACACGAAAAAAGGTATATCGACATGAGTGGAAATACAAAAAGTTTTAAAGAAGAAAAACAATATTAAAATTGCTCCTGAAACTATTGTTTTTATTTTATTTTGCTCGTGCTTTCTGTTGAGGTTTGTGTAAATATACCTGAACATCTGTCATTCTTTCTTCCTGTTACCACTTGTGTTTCATTCGTTTTCGCACAATGACCAAATTGCGATCACAATCCCACGCTCAGAGAGTTGCACACTGCGGGTTTGCAGGTCACCACATACAGTACTGTCTCGTGCATTGCTTCGTGTCCACGTTTTAGATACTGCATGTCCAGAACGAGCTTTACTTTGCATTCAGACGTCTGCTGTCTGACAGTGTGGACTGACTCACTCCCATCACCCTGTTATGCTTCCAGCAGTTTTCTGTCTCGCAATCTCAGCACTGCCTGTGCTTACGATGTGACCAGCAATGTATTATTTAGAAATAAAAAGGCAGTGATTTTTTTGTATTAATATTAGTTGGATATGTTTGTAAAGAAATATATGTTAGATATTTTAAATTGTCATATGCTAGCAATATGTAAAGTATTGTGCCAGGATTGTGATATTTTGGGTTACAAAAAAGTGAATGAGTGTAAATATTAATGATGCTAATTATTATGAAATTACAACACGAGTAGTCATAACTCTCTTTCCATTTTGCATCCTATTATGAAAAAAGAGGCAGATGATTTTAAGCTACATTTGTAAATTCTATTAAATATATATTCATTTGGTCTATAAACCAGTCGAGATAACGAGGGTTTTAATATAGAGTTGAAAAGTCCTTCTTTAGTAGTTAGTCTTGTATTTATTTGCAGTTTTGCCTTCGGTAATACTACGCATATTTCTGGACACTTGTATAAAGTTTTTCTGCAACATTTTTAATAAAATATCACAGTATTTTCTAAATAAAAAAATGGGCGAGAGATAGAAAAGAAACATGGTTCAAGGTCTGATCGGATTATTTGTCTGGTGTGTGTTTAATTGGAGAGTATTACCACTGGATAAAAGAGCACACGTCAAAGCGTTTTCACTCCTACAAAGTCACATTCACCTTTGCACACATATTTCTACAGCAATTTATATTTTATAGAAATAAACTTTAGAAGTTTATCTGGGTTTATTGTGCCACAGCCACCCTGATAATAAAAAGCTTCACAGCAAGAACTCAAACTTTATCTGAAACAAGCAAAGGTAAGTCTTTCATGTTGTTTTAAGTATAATTCTTTAAAATGTTTATCTTGTTTCAATGTCACGCTCATGTTCTTCATCTGTGTTTTATTTAGTAAAAAACACTTTGATTTATTAAAACATTCAGAAATTACTCTGTCAGCTTAACTAGTCATTTTTTATCACAGTAAAAACAGTGATTTTGTTGTGATTCCACTGTCAGGCAATGCAAGTTTATCCCATATGGAAAAGAAATAGTAAAAACATATATGATTTACTCATGAAAGTGGCCACTTTCTCATTACTTTCATATATTGTTTTAGTAAGTATCCAAAACATACAAGTTTCATTGTATAATTTTTCAAGGGATCTTATATCTGTTTTCACTCTTGTATGCTTTTCATACAAGTTTCACACAAGACAGATACAAACTTTATAAGACTTATATATATCTTTTCCATATGGGATTTATATGTATTTGTATAGCACAATTCAACAACAAGGTGATTCAAAGTGCTTTACCGAGACATTAGAAACAAAAACAAATAAAAAGCATGATTTAAAATTGATTAAAACAAGCAAACAAACAAACAAACAAAACAGTATATAAAATCAAAACAGATAAAATCAGTAGTTAAAATGTAAGTCATACAACAAAAGTCTGAAAAAGATACTTGATGAAGTAGAGAAAAAAATGAGCTAACACGTGTAAAAAAAAAAAAAACAACTTATAGGGTCAAAATAATAATAACACAAATTTCACAATAAAAAAAACAAAGAAGACACAAACACACACACACAATAGAGCTCCAGTATATTTGAAGCTTTTTTGTTTCATTGACATAATTATTGAGGCTTTAAGTATCAAATGAAATGTGTGTTCTTCAAGGGGAAATAGGAAGTTGTGCAAAACTGGAAACCAACATTTCCATCCATACGTACACGTTTGGTGTGTGGAACTGACTGTGCTACTGTCAGTGTCCTGTTTCCACTGTGACACTCATCAGGTAAATTCACCTTAGATTACCCTGTGGACAATCATGAGGACACCACTGGAACAAGTGAGGAGTGAAATCAATGCAAGATGTCAAACTGAGGTAGAAGGATAACAGGATGGTCCATAAAGCAAAGAGACCCTGTTGATGCCAGACTAGGAAATTAGTATCTGTCAATGGATGAGAGCAGCCCACTCCATCCTGGCATACACGCTTACAAAGGGCGTGGCACTCTTCCAATAAAGCCATTTATACCAGTATAATCTCAGATGACACCACAGTAACCAGCAGTATAAAAACTATTTAGTAGAATAATAACGATTTACTTAAGTAAAAGTACAAAGAAACCAAGCTAAAAGTCCTTCAGTGAAAGTGTTAAAAGTATTTATTTGTAATTCTATGTATTTTTTCTGTGTTATGTCATTAGATCATTTTTACTCTTGATTAACAGAAAAATATTTTTTAATTATTTCTCAGTAATTGAAAGAGGTAGCATTTTAGTTGAAGTTAAAGCACAATAGTTACTACATCACTCAGTCATTGTCAGTCAGCCAGTCAGATAAAGTTATTAATAAGTTATTATGGAGCCACTATTGAACACGAGCCTGAAGGTGATCACACGTGACCACGTTGTTAGCACAGTCTGTCTCTGTGATCTAGTGGGAACACTGGCACAGGGTGATGACTCAGCTCTCCTACAGCCAGTGAAATGTGTTTCAAAAGGGAAAAACACTCCTGGTATATTTAGTTCCAGATAAACACAAACCTAAAACAAGCACACTGGTAAGCGGGACACTCTTCTTGCAAAACAGAAACACAAAGTGGGTTTTTACTGCTGTAAACAGAAAATGGAAGCATTCCTCATTTTCCTTTAGCTCTCCTTTTTCCCAACCGCTCACATAGCAAATGGTTGCTCCAACCTGAGTCTAGTTCTGCCAGTTCTTCCTGTCAAAAGGGAGTTTTTCCTTCCCACTGTCACCTATGTTTGCTGATAGGTGGTTGTCTAACTGTTGGGCTTTTCTATATACAATTTTAGGGCCTTTACAATATAAAGCGCCTTGAGAGGACTTGATTTAAATGAAACTGAACTGAATTAAACTGAAGTTCCCAGTCTGTGCCCAACACATGAAATAATTTGACTCATGTTTCATTTTCATGTCTTCCAGGCAGCATGTTTAAGCACTTGATCAACCAAATAAGGAAAAATT